TTTAATTATTCCTTTTTTTTTGCCCAAATTGCTTTTTAAAATAAAAACTTATGTTTATTTAAATGTGCAATTTGAAGAACATTGACCAAAATCCTCTTAGCAGAAACCTTGGCCGCAGTGTAATGAAGGGGATTTTTGTTCTTGATTACAATGAGGACCAAGATTAATCACAACATGATTTTGAGAAACAGCTGGACTTTTGGCTAGAGGGGAGGGAGTTTAAAAATAAATTTGGCATGAAGATGAAAAAAAGACCTAGACATTATGTTTGGCTAATTAGCTAATTATCCTGTCCTAGCAGTCTGCACAAAATGAAAATACTCTTAAAAGAGCATCAAACTCCTGCAAATTTCCAAAACATGTTTTGGAAACTGTTTTGCCCTCTGATTCTTTCCTTGAATTTCTCTTCTTTCCTCAGCCCAGCCAGTGATGGATTAAATCCCCCCTGTTCACTCCAGAGGGTGAGGTGCAGGTATGGACCTGCCCTGGTGGAGCTTCCCAAGCCTGAGAGCAAACCTGGCAGCTGTCGGGAGGGACATCCTGGTGCTCAGCAGCTCCTCTCCTGCACTCACACACCCCAAATTGCGCAAATAAGGACTGTTCTACCCCCCTCTCACCTGCTGGGAAACATACAGACCAGCCCTTTGCTCTTGGGGCAGAGGAGGGGTATTTTTACATTTGCAATCAAAGCTGGAGTTTGCTGAGTTAGTTTCAGCTCAGAAATGAGCAGGATCCCATGCCAGACTCTTAGCAAGAGCAGATAAAGAGAGATTTCCAGCCCAGGGTCAGGGACAGCTCCAGACAAGCAGGGTGAGAGCAAGGGCTGAAGCACCCACCACTCAGTGATGGCAGTGGGAGGTTAATGGTTGGACTTGGTGATTTAGAGGTCTTTTCCAATGTTAATGATCCGATGATTCCATGACCTTGGGTCATCACCAAGTGATTATTTTGGAGTGGCACCATCTGAAGAAGGAGCTACTGAAGGACATGAAGGAACAGGGAGATTTACAGAGGGGAAGAGAAGGCCTCTGACAACTGAAAAAGGAAACTCCATGTGGCTCATCAAGCTGCATCTGTCTGGCGAGGAGGAAGGGTGGGTGCAGGGGAAGGTGGAGGAAAAATGTAACACCAGAGGGTGATGGAGAGGTGGGTGCTTGTAGCTGCTGTACAGAAATAGCATGCAGGGCATAGGCATAGCCTGGATGCAGAGGGCTTGAGCTGGCAACCAGGTATCCACTAGGACATGTCAAAAAGACAGGCTGTGGCTGTGATTTGGGAGAGCAACACCAGACCATGAGCCACCAACATTCTCTGGACTGGGATAAGCAAGCCTGAAGAGAAGTAGAGGGAAAAGAGAAGGGGTACAAGGATAAAGCTGTGTGGAGCTCTGACATAAATATGGAATGACAGCAAGGATGGTCCAGAAGGGATGGCATCACCCCTTTACCACTGCTCCTTGGGAGCACTGTCCTTCCCCAGAGAGCTGTGAGGAGCAGGTGGATCTGCCCTGCCAGCATGGCTCGGAGGGAGAGGAGGCAGGGTTTTAGAGGTTTTAGAACACTGGGCACTCATCCCTCTACAAGGCTCAGAAGAGCTCAGCTGAACTGTTTGGACCTTACCTCACCCACTGCAATATTTCAGAGGAAGGGAAATAATCTCAGGCAAAGTTATAAAAAGATGAAACCTTAGAGTTAGTCCAATAAACTCGGGCACACTATGACAACTGAGGCAATCATGATCCCTTCAAGAGATGTGCTACCACCTCCTGGGATTTTACACATCCAGAGCATCACTTTAAGCCCAGTTGCGTCTTCAACAGTGGTGCTCAGGGGCTTTGCTCCACTGGGCTCTTTTAGAAAAAGGCAGCCAGTCCCACATCAGCTTGGACAGGAGTCTGGCAAAACCAAACCACTCCCCCTCCAAGGCCCTCTGACCCTCAGCAACCTCCAAGCAAAAGCAAAGAGGCAAAAAAAACCCTGAGAGCAGCAACTGAATCTGTTCAATTTGGTTTGTTTGGATCTTGCTGACAGCTGTAACACGGTGGTGCCCCAGCAGCAGGGCACGCTGCTCAGTGGTGGGTGCCAGGACACACACCGAGCTGCCACAGAGACCAGGGGTCCCCTGAGACAGGAGGATCAAGAAGGGATGAGAAGCATGGACCTGCCAGACCAGTCCTTGTCCCAGCCAGGTCCTTGCAGAAGGCACAGTAATACGAGTTTTTCCTGGCATCAGGAAGCATTGGTTGTTCCTAACAGGTGTCTGTCCTCATCCAACTATAGAAAGAAATGCTGAGACACCCTGTTTCTTCCACCACCAGCATGCAAAGCATTCCAAAGGAGGGTGGAAACTCCATGCTCTGGAGACCTTTTGTTTTATTTCTGCTGCTTTTGCCCTTCAGCTCTAAGTCCTGACCAACTGCCCCGTCCTCCTGTGCCAGGACAGCTTTTTTTGTCTGCAGTTGTACAAAATGTCAGCAGGTATCACCACATACTTCCTGGGTACAATCTGGGGAATTCAGACCTTGCAAGAACAGTTCCTTGGCAAGAGCTGTGTCATTCTGACAATGCTCTCCCCAAACTCCTGCACTAAGAGTCTCCTGGATTAGTGTGGAGTGTCAAAATGAATATATCAGGCTAACGCCTTCAACCCACGCCTATTAGATCAAGTCTGGCCTGCCTAGTAAAAGTGAGTTTGATGGGCATGATGCCTTAGTTGGCTGTAAAAAAGAGTGGTAAAGTGACCTCACAGAAGTAAAATTAAGAGGGCAGAGCTAACTGCAGGGGAGCAGGATATTATCATCAGCAAACATGTGCCTTTGCCAAAGGTCTGTCTGAAGTGGGCAGCAAAAATCAAGCAGCAGGGCTGGGCTCTTGTGAGCGTGTCAGCCAACAGGAAGCTGGTAAGGAAAGGCAACCTGTCACCTGAGCTAGTGGGGATAAAGTGGGACACACCTCTGCCCATTGGCAGAAGGAAGAAGAGTGGCCAGGGACAGTAGTTTCTCCTCCCTGTACAGCTTAAGCCTCTGGTCTGTTCAGCAACCAGCACCCTTCTGGTCAGCCACACCAATAAATCAACACCCACTGATTTTGTGAGGCCAGTTCCTCACATCTAACCCACCACACACCTCAGTGAAGAACTGTAACAATTTCTTTTAAAACTATCATTCATTGGAGTCCAGAACCAAACACCTCTTGTTCAGCACAGAAAGGATGTGGACTTGCTGGAGTGAGTCCAGAGAAGACCCCAAAATGCTCAAAGGGCTGGAGCATCTCTGCTGTGGAGACAGGCTGAGAGAGTTGGGGTTGTTCAGCCTGCAAAAGAGAAGGTTTAAGGGAGCACTTAGCACAATTTTCAGTACCTAAAAAGGCTACAAGAAAACTGGCAAGGAGGCATTTTAAAAGGCCTTGTAGTGATAGGACCAGGGGGAATGGCTTTAAATTGAAGTGGGGCAGGTTTAGGTTAGATATCAGGGAGAAATTCTTTGCTGTGATAGTAGTGAGGCACTGGATCAGATTGCCCAGAGAAGCTGGGGATGTCCCATCCTTGAAAATGCTCAAGGCAAGGTTAGATGGGGCTTTGAACAACCTGGTCTAGTGGAAAATGTCCCTGCCCAGGGCAGGGGGGTTGGAACTGGATGATCCAAACCAATCTGTGATTCTATGATTCCCAGTGACATTTCAGTCCTCAATGAAATCTCTTCAAAACTCTGTTTTCCTGTTACAAATCTTAGAAATACTCTCCAGAAAAGTCATTCTTGTCCTGGTTTCTCCTTGGACCTGTGTTTTCAGCATCCGTGTTTAAAATCCTGTCTCAGAGGTCTGACTTGCGTGTGGTGAGCCATGCCCAGGAGCACTTCCCTAATTGCTCTATGACCAATGGTCCTGGTAGTACATCACAGTTTCAACATCCTTGGCTCAGCCACAAACACAATTTCATAAGAGTCTTTTGATTTTAACAGCACACTGCTGAAGTGGGGAGGAGATGGGTAATTCATCAGCTGCAGGATCTCTAAGCTGTAAGACATTGCTCCCTTCATGCTCAGTGTGAAGAACAACACCAGCATTCAAGCCTTGTCTTGAGAGGCTCCTCACCCCAGCTGTCAGTGTGACCCCACCTACTTGTTTTTGACCCATGGAGTCTTTGGGAAAAATTATCCCTGATGGATACCCTAAACTTCCCAAATCTTCACACACTGCTGTCAGATGTAAGCAGATTTGACTGTTATTGCATGAAACAAGAGACTAATAGCTAATAGGCAATTTATTTGGTGCTGTCAGCTTCATGTCAGCCACCTCAGAGACATGGCCTAAGAAAACATGAATTAAATGTACGGGCCAGATCCTCATCTCTGCAAATCTGCCTCATTGTCTCTATTTGTGCATGGGAGATTTTCACAACCTGACACTGAATTCATGTGAAGGACCAATGTCAGCCACTGGAGAGAAGCACTTCATCAAAAACGGGTTTGCCATGAAACACTTGGTGTACAAGGTAGGATTTAAGTGTAGAGGCAAAAAGTTTCAGAAATTATAAACTAAGCTTAATTTCCCATTCATATTGAAGACCAACTCTCCCATGGGTAGAGTGTAAGAGCAAGGCAGTGCTTGAGTGGCTTTTGACATATGTCATGTTGGGGTTTTTAATCAAATTCGGGTGAGGGAAAAGCTGGGCACTCAGACACATGACCCAAGCTCAGGTCTCCCCAAACTGATGCTGGCCCATACAAGGACAGGGTGGGGAGCAATTTTCCATCAAGGACCTCAACATGTTTTGTGTCCCTTGAATAAAACATACTTGATGTTCCTCCGAGCTGGAGGTCTGGTGGCCTGTTCTCACACAAAGCCACCCAGTGACAAGAACAGTCAGAACTTAGCAGCCATCCCTCACAATAACAATGTATGTAATGGGTCCAGGAGTCATAAAAGATGTAACACTGCTGAAATCCCGCCCATCTCCTTTCCTTCCACTTTAGACTGGAACATTCTTGCACAGGCAATTATTCTCAAAGCATGCTCCATCTTGCTGGATGCAGGAAGGAGCGTTCTGCTGTGCTCCACTCCAGCCTGGGCGAGGACAAGGGCTGCTTTGTCTCTGTGCACCTACAACTAGTGTAGAAAGGCAGCCTTGTGGACCAGCAAGGACTTCACCCCATTTTTCTACACCCATCAGCATTAGTTCATTACTTCACGCCCCAAAATTTTCTGCTTGTAAGTCTCTTTGAAGAGGTCTAAGTAACTTTCATGGTGCTCCATCAGAGTACCAGGTTTCTGGGCTATTCTTTTTTCCTAGCTTCCCTCGTTTGCATTCCTGGTGACAAGGGCTGGCGCAGTGCATAAAGACAATTTCATACCTGTTTATTATGGGGAAGGACACATGCATCTAAAACTGATTTGACAGGAGACAGCATGACAGCTGTTTTACAGGATTCTCCATTGAAATAGCAAATGAGAGGCTTGCTGGCATATATGGGACATATTTATATCCTAAACAAAAGGGCAATAACATACATAGTGACAAGCCTTGTTTGTACACAGCTTTCAGCAAGTTTGTGCCAAGCGCTGGCTCCCAGCCAAGCTCACGGCTGGTACAATCTGGCACAGCCCCTCCGACTCCAAGGCAGCTGCATCAATTTACACCAAGGAAGAAATGAGGTATAATTTTCTCAGTTACACACCAGAATTACAAGAGATGGGGGGGATAAAACTGATGATCTGCAGGAAGGCTGGAGGTGAGCAGCATCTCAGCCTGCCACGTGCTGGAGGAGGATAGGTCTGAGCGTGTTTGCAAGGCTGGGCTGTTGGATTTGTGTGGAGGGGGCTGCAATAAAGATAGAAACATTTTAGAAGCCACCCATAGCTGCCTGCATCCAGCGTGGCAAATAGCACTTAGTAGAGCAGCCCGTTGTTTTCAGCCTGTTTAAATGGGAGGGTACAGTGGGGAAAGCTGCACTTCCATCAATGCTTCCACACAGGGAAATGGAGATGGGGCTCTCCTGTACCCCAGGGTCTCTAATCATTCTGCAAACAGCAATTTTCTCACGCAGGGAGAAGAGATATGAAGATCACCTCCAGCCCTCACTTACTCCCTGACCATCTGTGTAATGCCAGAGGATGCTTCAGGGAAGAGGCTGATGGCAGTAGCCTGTGGAGGCTGAAGCAGGACATTAGTGGTCACACCACTGAGCTGAATTTTGGCTGAAACTAGCAAGTGAACAACTTTTGCCACACCATTAGAGGGGTTTTTTTTAACAGCAGCACACTCTCAGGAGCACAGTAAGTATTAATGACATTTCCAGACATAAGTTCAACATGCTTTCTAGAGGTCTCCACCTTAACCTTCTTTTAAATTGATTTTCATAACTCAATGACCAAATTAAAAAATAATGTGGATGCTTAGTCCTGCTCTTTAGGGAAGGCTTTGCTCCTCCATGGGTGACTCCGTAGCTCCTTGATGCTCCAGGCTGCTGTCTTGGCTTAAACATTTCACATTGTTTCAGCAAAATTAGAAAGTATCTGTTATTGTTTGTAGCAATTAATCCCAACCACAATAAATAATGCCATGCCAGTACATTTATTTACAGTATATAACTATACCTCATCACACCCAGCCCTGCCCAGAACTGTTATTGAGTGTAAGGGATTTGCTGTATTTCCAACCCAAAGCCTGGTATCAGATCCTCACATGTAGCCAGAAACCTGCCCAGCAGATGAACACTGTCAGAAGGTTAGAAATTACAGTGGCACAATCATGTAACTTTGTTTTCACTCTGTCAAAAAAAAAAAAAGCATAACATAGGAAAACACATAGGACGTAAATCTTAGCAAGAAGCTCCCACAGTTCTATGTTCATGTTTATATCACAAGTTTTATGATGATCATCTTGATGTTGGCTTGTTATGTCAAAGACAGGTATGTTAAGAGAAAGGTTTGGAATGGTTTGTTTTCATTTCTGTTAAAGCAGGAACCCATATAAAATTAATTTTAATTTTAGCCTTCTAACACTAAAACCAAATTTCTTTTCAGAAAACTGAGATGGCTCTGCACCCAGCTATTAAAGACAAGAATATGGGTATTGCATGGTAAAAACCCCAGGAACAATGGCAAAACAAGGACCCAGCGTAAACAAATGGATGAGGCAACAAAAACTGAATGAGACATTTTCAAACATTTAATCATTACATGTCAAAGCACAATTTAAATACCACAGCACCTTATGTGTTCATGAAGAGGAAAACAAAATGACTGAGAACTCCTGGCTAAAACAGTCTTGTTCCTGGCACTGATTGATATTCTTGAATGGAAGACTTGATGGATTATGATTTTTGCAAGAGAATCATTACACGCCAAGTGCACAAATAGAGAAGTACAGCTTGTTGACACCTCTGTGCAAAATAAAGCCATTCTAGAAATTTTGATTCATTATATCTCTATTAGGAATCAATCCACCTGACCTAAATTTTGCATCATAAATCAGATTAAGAAACCCATCTGGATCTCAGCAAAGGCTGCACGCCCTTGGTTTAAAATCACTCCACTATATCCAGCACACCATTATTATTCTAAATGCAATAATCTATACTGCATAATTTAGGTCAACTTGATTTCAGACTAGGCAAAAGCATTTCTACCCACTCACCTGCAGAGGAATTTAATCATTTTAGGGACATTATTTGTCTTTTTGTATATGGGCTATTTGTTGGGATTTTTAGTTTCTTATTCACTCACTGCTCAAGGGGAAAAAAATAGCACAACATTGATAAAATACTATAGGAAGATCATAAAGTAACATTGGAGAACCTTAAAGTAGAGCCATATCGTTTTCTTACATGGGTAATTACAGTAAATTGGATTTACACAGCTAAGTAGAGAGTCATTGATTTTTCCTGGCTGGCCACAGTGCTGAAGAGAAGCCAGGTGGGTTTGTGATGCTGCCTAAAAGACTTTGACAGCTGAAAAATCTTCCCCCCTGAAAGTGTGTGAGTGTATAGGTCTGGCTGAAAGTCAAAGGGAGTTGCATCCAAGTCTGAGATGCTTTTTAAGCTATCCCCATTGGTATCAACCTGGAATTTGGAGTGAGTTTTAAAAGAAAAGATGGTAGCATTTTCTGCATAAAATTAGACAAGTTCATTAACTGTGAGGAATTCTTGTTTAACTTTGAGGAGCTGCATTGCTCGCTCCTCTTTGAGCTGCACAAGCAAACCCAGGGGTACAGCACCAGCCTTTGACGATGAAAGGGCTACGAGCAGAAACAAAATGGGCTTTTGAAAGCTTCAAGCCCATGACAGCTGTGAGAGAGCAATAATTCAGGAAATGTCTTGGGTAAAATCAACTCGAATGACTTGATGCTTTGTTTTATCATTACGAACATAAAGGAGTTTCTTTTAGTTATCAACCAAAAATCTCAAGGGGTTCCCCAAAGATTTGCTAATAACATGCCTTGAATAGAAATGACTGCAAGTGACAGTAAAATAGCAATTGAAAAGGGACATTTCGCACACGAGTGTCAGTGCTGTCACTAAAACATGAGACTCCCTAGCTACACCTACACCCTGTTCCCACAGACTGCCTCTAAATCCAACAGGACAAGTCTCTCTCCAGGCTTCAGTCTGCTCCTCCATGAAACAAGGATGTCAATGCTGGCTGTCTACATCCCTAGGGGAAGTTCCTGGGAAACCTTCAGATGAGGCCATTTATTGCTACAGCCCCACGGTTTTTGGTTCTGCTGTCATTTACACCTGTGTGTGGGGGAGGTGGGGAATAAAAGGTGCTGTTAGTGTTGGATGCTTTGCCAAGGGGGAGGCACCAGTGGATGGGAGCTCAGCCCTGTGGACACCTCCCTGCTGGGGCAGCTGGTCCCCATCCAAACACCGTGCTGCCATCAGGCAGAGTTGAAACGACAAGTGCTTTTCTATAACATCCAATGCTGAGTTTGTATGGGCCTGTTTCCTAATGAGATGCCTCTTTTCCTGGTGAAGGAAGTATTTACATGTCATGTGATTATTTTGTTATGACCTGTAGGCTTTTATGTGCCTTTAAAGAGGTTTCCCATCCTGGACATGACTGAGATGGCCCCAGACTCTGATCTCAGTCAGCCTTGAGACAGCTCAACATGAGCCCAGGAGAGCACAATAAAATACTAGGGAAGATGCCAAACAAGGTGATTGTCAGCTGTGCTAGCTGGTTATATTTATACCTGCAGTGGAAATAGACTTTAAAGGGAATAGAAATGTTCTTGGCTCCTTTCTCAACCATTCTTTTACCTGGCACAGTGGTGCAAAGGGACTAAAAAAACACTGAAAACCTTACTTAGTCTGTATTCTGCTAAATAAGACCCTACCAACTTCCTTTTTATCTTTGTAACACAAGACAATGAATTCTCTTAAGACTTTTCAGACTTTTTCTAAGTCCTCACACAGACTTTCTTAGCAAAGAACTAAGTTATGCCTTTCTTCCAGAACATTTGGACAAATGACAAGACTAGATAACAGGTCGTCCATATCCCTTAAGTATAAATGTATTCACAGGCTGCCTATGAGGAAGTTGATGAAAGCTTTAAAAATCTATAAACAGTAAGAATAACACCTCTGCCATGGGGAGACCTGTGACAAACAATTACCCCTGCAACTTAGCAGCATTTTTTATCTAAATGGCTAATGCTGGAGAAGAAAAACTTGTCACACTCCTTAGGGCACCTCAAAACACCTTGGTTGAATGGCACCTTCTCTGAACCCAGATGCACTGCTGCTGCCTCCCTGAGCACTGGGTTCAATTTTTTAATCTGCTCCCAGGCTCCCCCAAGTATCCAAGGTTCCATGAGGGGTGGTCTGAGGATGCTCTGGGAGCATCGTGCTGGCATTGCCTAATTCCCCTGTCAAACACTGCAAAGTCCCATTGTGCCATGTCCTCATCACTGGAAACACCAATGTTATTTTCACAGAAAATAAAGACTTCCTGCTAGACACGATTTAAATAATACAGTCTTGGCCTTTTTAAAGGGAAAGAAACAATCCATTCAAATGTAGAATGATTTCTTTCTCAGAATGTTTCAAAGTCATGTCACTCTATCTATTACCCAAGACAAATTACTTTGACAGCACTATCTACTCTTGACATTTGAGTTGTCTCTCTAGCCTATTATATTTTAACACAGGCATAAAATATTGTTCAGACAGTATGGTTAGTCTAAAAGAGTAAATCTAACTGCTTTGAAATGGCCTATTAGGAGATGAACTCTCAGTTTAGCTGCAGGCGGAGAATTAATCCAGCGCTTTTCTTAGTTCTTCAATGGCAATCTTTTCTTCCCCACTAACTAAATGCTCTTTATTTGGAGGGATGTAAAAAGAGAGTGATCTTCTGAAGGAGAGGGGGCAAATTAAACAGAAATCAGAGGGGAAAGTGTCATTAAGAAATTCTGACACATGACATCATTAGAGGACATATCTGGCCTCTCCTGTCGTGGCAGAAATGGAGATGGGTTTTGATTTTTACTTCAGTCTGGAGAACAATTATGTACACAGCTTAGCCTCCTGCATGCCTTAAGATACACCACCTGCCTCTGCTGGTTGGGCTGGCATATTGCAAATATGCAGTTCTAAAAAAGAACACCCTGGGGGACGCCTTCCCAGGGCACAGCTGCTCCTGGGTCATGAGGATGGCAGCACTGGGGGGTCCCAGCCCCGCTCACTGGCACAGGCTCAAGCTGTTCTTGGGGGGAGAGTGCTCTGCTCTGCTCTGCTCTGCTCTCAAAGGCCTTCTGCCTGTCTCACGGCTTCACCTTCGGCCATGGCAGTGGTGTAAGCTTCTGCTCGGCCACATCATCCTCTCATGCATGTGGAGATACGTGGTCTGTAATAAACAAATCTTTTTGCAGCTGCTTCAGAGGAATTAATTTCAGTTCTTTCCCCAAGCTTCTCCTCTCCTTAGACCCTGCCTTTCCAGCGCTTGCCTTTACATCACAGTTTTAATGTTTGCCTACTTAATGTCTGCTACTCAGCAGCTCCTTCTGTTGCCACTCGGCAGCTTCTGCAGGAGAGGACCTGGAATTAGAGCCATGCACATACTTACAAAGCCCAGTTAAACACCAGCATCGTGCTGCCAGCCAAGTATGCGACGGGGGTTTGACACAGCTCTTGAACCGCCCCAGAGACATCCCCCTATGGACACCTTCCACCCGGGGCGATGGGCACTGAGCGAGGGGAGCATGGCCAGGACGGGACCAAAAGCCACCCCAACGCGCAGACATGGGCAAGGAGCACCCGGTGATGCTG